AAATCCTTTGGGCAATCTACAAGCAATGGTTCGCAATGGTTCTCTAGGCACGCACTTTGCACTCCTTAAAGTTGGCATGTGGGCACCCTCAACATTGGTCGTTCCTCAATTCGCATAGAGTCGAGTGTTGATGGAGTGGGGGCGCCTTTATCTCTTTCCCAAGTTCGGCGTAGTAGGAATTTTTTGTATGCACAAATCATTAGGACTTATTTTTGGCATTCTCGGAACATGGGTTTCCACTCCTATTCGTTTGGGATCAATGTGGGGTCGAAATTCTTCTCTATGCCTCAATAGTCAAGCCATTCCATTACTCATTTATTTATCATTTACGAAAGTTTCATGTTTCCACTCCTCGACTGTCTACGATGACTTTGATTATCAATACCCCATCTGAAGTCATCATTAGACAATAAAAACGACTATTTTTGGTATGTCTGATGAATCAGCGTTAAGTTGTGAGCTTGGAATTGCTGTTATTTACACAGGACGCCGGCTGGTTCGAGCAGTACACGTGGGCTCTATTTAAGGCCATGTCACACATGCTCTCCATCGGTTATGGACGCTTTCCGCCCACGAGCCCAGGTGAAGCCTGGATCACCATTATCAGCATGATGACCGGGTCCACCTGCTATGCTCTCTTCGTGGGTCACGCCGCGGCTCTCATCCAATCATTTGATTGCTCAAAAAAAATGTACCGAGAAAAGGTGAGCACTTTTTAGCCGTCCAAAGTACATGCATATCCAGTTGGAGCAGGAGAGGAGATGTTTAGCGTGAGAAGAAGCCGTCGTTTGAAGGAAAAACTAAAGGCATGAGGTGGAGGGCATTAACTTAATTGTGGAATTTCATTAGGGTAAATAATCACTACAACATATAATTTTTACTGGACTAAGTGGCTCAATTTAGAGCCTGCTTTCCCGTAATGGCCCCAAGTCCTTATGCATTGTAAACTAGGGTTACGCGACACTGTTATACCTCGCAAAATCAGCGTTTCAAAGTACCCACTTTGCTTACCACTATACTGAATGCTTATTGCGTCCTGAGCTTTTCCATTTCCAAAAACACTTTACAAGACGATTCGTACGATTGACTTTGTTATTGTGTGCAAAAGTGAATAAATTACTTGTAGCTTAAGAGGTAATGAATGGGCAAGAGTGGATTAAGGTTGTGAGGTCGAGTTTTTCCCGGTGAACATTGCACAGCATTCTTGCATAAGGAGAGAACAGAGCTCATTTCATGTTATAAATGGCCGTCAAGTGCCAGAGCCCCGTAGGTTGAAAAGTTGCTATCAGCTCCTAGTTGACTATTAGAAAATCTGCTAAAAGCCGAAAAAACTATCTTCCTTTTTGCAGCATGATGCCATCATAATGCGCCCGGTGTAGAGGAGAGCAGTTTGAGTCATCATTGTTAAATGTGCAACGATTTCACGGAGGGGATTCGTATCAGCTAGCGGATCCAGCCAAAGTGACATAAGTTGGGGTGCCTGATTACACAGGAATTTGAGATCTTCACTAAAGAGTGGGTTCTATGCGCTTCTTTGTAAGTTTCACCAAACTCAGTGCTCGCAGACAGTATATCAGTCTAGAAATGCATGCATAAAATTTGTGTCTGCTGTTTAGTTACCATTGGGACTGGCAAATGATAACTTATATACCGAGAGTTGACGATATTTGGGGAGAAAATAAGCACTGACTCAGTATTAATTAGCGCATTTAATGCGATGTGCTTGGTGATGCGTTTTATTGGAACTTCATTTGGCATTTGGAATCACTTTCTTCCGACTAAACCCGGGAATTGCTTGTTTTGCAGTCGGCTGATATTTGTGAAATTAGCGTCTCTCCGATTTCTCCCCTTCCATAATAAAGTAGTGTTTGGGTTTGATTGATTTTGCCTCGAAAATGTTCACTTCCTACTAAACAAGACAAAAGGAGCTCAAATGAATCCCCTGAAGTGCACACCAAAATCCCATGTATTTGACGCCGGGCGTTACTTTAGGTAGATGAACCGAGATTAGCCCATGCACCTGAGCTTTTTGCACAGCTCTTGCAGTGACCGAACAACTAAGCCTATCCACTCGGAAACGGTCGGTAGGAAATAAGCCAAAGAACTTTGCACTCATTTGCAGAAACTCCTAAAGGCAGTTGCTCAAATCTCCGACTTAGTGTGATGTAGCATTTTTGTTCAACACCTTAAGTTTTGGCTAAAAACGCTTTCAACTGACTTGCTGAAGGAAGCGATAATGATGGTAGGCGAATCACCTAAGAAGTGCTGTTAGAACTGATATGAGTTCACTTAGTTTAATTTTTTCATTTTCGGTTTGTCAACAGCTTCATCTTTTTTCGTTGCTCTTAGCTCTGACCTTATTAATTCTTCTCCCTGTAATGTAAACATCGTTGGCTTCCACGTGCGCAATATCTCCAAAACTCTTCGTTAAACGTCAGATAATCGTAGCTCAGCATTGCGGCGCCAAGGGGTCCCGCAGCACTTTTCCACTTCTTTAGCAGCAGTTCAGAAGCCAATCTCACACCACCAACTTGACCGCATTTACCTTTTCACCCACCACTTCCAACGATGCCGATCCGTCGATGCTTTGCCTTTCATGAAATTTTGAACCTTGGCTTGTGATTCTGCATTACCATTCATTCACCCCAGCTCGTTCGTACAAAGGTAGCATTCGGAGAGCGTTGAAACACCTTTAAAGCCATACCGAAGTTCCTACAAACATTCAAAAGCTTTACAGCAGAATCGAGGTGATTTAGGTAAAGTATTTTTATTCACCTGGTCTTGGAAACAAGTTTTTTGGAAATTAAGAGCGAATCTCCCTTGTGAGACCGTTTTTCTACTAGCTTTGCTTTCAATGTAGCCGCCTGCTACATCTCGCAACGCTTCAGGCAATGAAGAGGGCTTTAAAAAGCCAAAGGTGTCAATTTTGCCTTTAGTTAAAGGCAGAAGTTCAAATCGCCAATTGAATGGCGTACCACTTTGTGCTCTCATTAAAATCTGCATCTGAAATTGAAGCTGCACTCCTTCATTTTTAGCTTTCCGCACTTTTATTTTAGTTTAAACAAGTAGAAGAGTACATGGCGTATCGCAAGTTGCCGCGAATTTTACGACAGAAGATTGCTAACTACTATGAGCACCGATATCAGGGAAAAATGTTCAACGAGGTGATTATCTTGGATGAACTCTCTGAATGTCTTCGAGAGGTGAGCTTTCGAATTATCCCTTTACCGCTTTTCAATCTCCACTTTCAGCTAAATCCCTTTTCTGTGTTTAAAGCCATACACGCTTGGAATACCACAGCTACCCCAGTTAATGTCACTCCTCAAGACCAGTTTGTATCACTTTTCTGCAAGACACCCATTCACGAGGTCACTTCGAGAATTAGCCAATTCCAGAACCAAGAGATACGGTAGCAAAGAGAAGAAAACTTTTCCCCATGACCCTCTGGCACATTGTCGAGGATTTCAATGCAATTTGCTTTAATTCTCCTCAGTGTATTATTATAGGCCTATACATATTGTATAAAATTTGCATAGCTTTGGCTGATGATTTCATGCTCAAACGCGGCCTTCACGCTATTTTAGTCTAAATAGTAACAGCCGAAATCTACTAAGTAATTGTGTCCAAATAGTTGATTGTTATGATTCTTGTATTGACACAAAACTGTTAGCCTTGGTGTTGTTTCTAAAGGTCTCTTCAATTTAATGGCACATTTGACGGTGCAAAATTATCTTGGCGCATCGAATGCACCTTTCTGCACTTCGGTGTTGGCATACCGCCCCCACTCTGGTCGCTCAAGTTTAAGGTCAGGCTCGAAAATGGGGCGAATGCTTGACCCCGTTCACTGCTTGCCTCCAGCCTTATTGCCACTTTGACCTAGGGAAGAGCTGGCAGCTGATTTGCCGTTACTTCGACCCTCCCAGCCATGTGGCGATTGTAGTCACCACTAAAGGTCCATTACCTCATAACAAATGCATAAGTCACAGTCTCAACATTTTAAGTGAATTAAGGGATGACATCCAATACCTCTTGGAGAAATGCTAATTTTGTGGCTCCTTTCTCCGAAAAATTTCTCATTCCTGTTATGTTTTTACTGGAAAAAAAGAATTCCACGATTACACTCATGAACAGACCAAATGGAAGAACATGAACGCTACTCACAAAAACTTTCAAAAGTCAAATCCCTCTCTCCGTACCTTTACGTCAACTAGAAAAGCAACTTTACAGGTCCATCATCCCGTCGACCCGACCACAGAAAGTGGCTAAATATTTGCCTTTTGGCTACCAAAATGCACACCAACTTCTATTGTGCATCTTGCAGTTTTGGGTGATCGCGTTACAGTGGGATCCGGTTCTAGCTGCATTAGATTAAAATCATTTTCTCTGACACAGAGTTGGAGGAGTGAAGTACTTACCTACTGTGTGAATGGTGAAAATTTTACCGATGCATAACTTCTAATTTACTTTCCCAGTTTTTTTTCGTGCATGTCACATACCCCTCCTTCATGAATTCTTTATTTTGTGAAGTAATCACCACAACTTCTCCTTCTATATTGAGTTCATTTTTTGTTTTGTATAGTCCCCAAAGGAGTTGCCTATTCTTCTATTCAACGTGAAAGCCATGAATTTTTGTGCCAACTCTAAGAGTTCGCATGCATCCCAACATTGCCCATACTTTTGCAATCATGGTTTGCCTCAAATAGGACTAATTCCATCAAAGCGATGGTAGTCTCCTTTTGTAACAAACTTATCGTTGTCATTCAAACATGGATTGCAGAGAAGAGCATTAATGAATCCTGTATGTAAC